TGAGACGTTAGCATTAGCATGCTGACCGGACTAACATCTGATGTCCATATGTCTGTGGTAAAACTCACGTGTAGTCCGTTCTTGTCGATCAGGTTGTGAATGTTTGTGGCGACAATATCATAGAGTGCAGGAAGAGACACATCCGAGAAGAAGCGGCAGCTTGGGAGAGTGTAATGTGGCTCCAAGTGTGCTATGAACTTACGAAAACCCGGGTTCTCGACGACGGAAAAAGGCTGGTCGTCGACCGCTATGAACTCCATCAATCAATCAATCAATCAAACTTTATTTATATAGCACCTTTCATGCTTTTAAGCTGCAACACAAAGTGCTTTACAAAGAGGTAAAAACAAACAACGTTAAAAAAAGAAAAAACAAAACAAACAACAGTAAATATAGGGCACTTAAATAGGCATAAAACCCGTCCCTTCCCACCCACAGCAGCATATACAGGCATGCACAGCAGCCCACCCCACACACACATACACGCACACACGTATCCACACACCCACACAGTAACTGTCAGTAAAAACATGGCAAGGCACTGATGATTCTGGTAAGGAAAGACCACCTATGGGAGCCGTCCACACCGAGAGGAGCCACAGCCCACCCCCACAGGGAGCACCGCCCCCGAGACCCCCCGACCCAGACAGCCCGGGTGCACCCTGCACATAGTGCAGAGCCCCCTAACCGTCTGGGCCTGGACGATCCCAAGGACCGCGCCCCCCGGGGGCGGACCAGACATACCTCCCAGTGTGGAGGGCCCCCACGAGGAAACTCTGGAGCTAAAAAGACTAGGACATAGAAGGAATTAAAATAATATTAAAATATCTAAATGACGTAAAAATGTGATAAAAGTAAAGGATAAAATAAACTAAAACCAAATTAGAATAATGTTAGAATATCTAAGTGACATAAAAATGTGATAAAAGTAAAGGATAAAATAAACTAAAACAGTTAAATCAGCTAAAAGCCAAACTAAAAAGGTGGGTCTTGAGCCTCCTTTTAAAAAAAAATAAAAAATCACTTTGTCGTTAATGGCTTTAGCCTTTTCGCTGTCTCTTGAGAAGCTTTTGCAGTTTTTAAACGCCTGCTGAATGGGGACATCGATCCTCCGTAGTGTTGTTGTCTTAGCTTTAGTACCGCTAGCAGCTTCGGCGGCTGTCTCATATTCTTTTACTACCGCTTCGCCGCGATGGCGACTTTTCAGATGAGCTATCAGATTCGTTGTGTTAATACTTGACGTCTTCTTTCCTCCTCTAGGAATCCTCGCTGAACAGGTTTTGCATATAGCAATGCTGTTGTCATCTTCTGCCACTGAGAGAAACGACCATGCTGGTGAAGACATTTTATTATCTGTCAGGTAGTGACGGGGTCAGGCTTGGGACCTGCGAGTAAGGCGCGATAGATGACGTAACCAGCGCGTCTCGGACGGGCGGCTACTCCGCCTGCAAACGTTACTCGTAATTTCATTAATATATCGGATCTTTCTATCGGAAAAATGCACCTATCGGACCGATAAAAAATGACGTAATTTCCCCCCAAATCGGCCGATATTTTATCGGTCCGATAAATATCGTGCATCCCTACTCAAAACCTCTCTTATTCGCTCCCACACATTCTCGCTGAATTCAGACCAAATCTTCATGTTTATGAGCTTCTGTCTGCAGATTTCAACGTATCTGCAATCAGCTGTTTCTAAATAAGATACAGCTGCTCGTTTTCAAAACCTTAAAATATAAACTGAATGTCTCGTTTTGTAAAGTTAGTTAAGCTAGCGTGCAGCACGCCACACCGACGGCTGAAACGAAACGAAAAGAGAAAAGAGCGGACGCTTTTGATGAGGATAAAAAAATCTGAAAATACAGAAAAACTTCTTGAATGAAGGGTTGAGTTTGAAGTATTTTTACTGAATTTTTCTTATTTCATGATCAGATTTGGGTTTTTGGACTTTGTGCAGCATCTAAGAGACATTTTTCTAGACTTGTGAGGGAAATTAAGTTTAATGAGACAAAACTCAAAGCAGCGTCTGATACTCATCTGACTTCCTTTATTATTGAATCTTTAGCTCAGGTGCAGGTTTAACTCAACTCAACTCAACTTTATTTGTAGAGCACTTTAAAACAACCACAGCTGCACAAAGTGTTGTACATAACTGGACAAAACAACAAGATAAAAAAAACAATCAAGAAACAATAAAAACAATGGATAAAATAAAAGCAGAATTAAAAGTAAAATATAGCTTCAATGTTTTTAAAAACTAATTTAAAAACATAGAAACAAATAACTAAAAACAAACCATAAAACACTAAAACAGGAGCCGAGTCTCATGCAGGGTTAAAAGCCAATGAATAAGGTTTAAGCCTCAATTAAGATCCGGTTTTTAACCTGCACAATCCAACAGACTCGGTTCTGGTCTGCTCGGTCAGATCCAGATCCAGGAGGACCTCCTCTGACGTGTGTTTCTCCTGCTTTCAGATCCAGATGAAGGATTTCAGGTTCTCCTATAAGTTCAAGATGGCGTGTAAAGAAGACGTTCTGCGTTTGTGTCCGAACATCAAGAAAAAGTGAGAAAGCGCACACTGACCTTTTGACCTTTGACCCTCCTGTCTGTTTTTCCCGGAGTCCGAGTTTGTCTGATTTAACTCCTCGATCCGCTCCGCCCGTGTCCTTCGCTCCGCAGGGTGGATGTTGTGATCTGTCTGAGCACCACGGTGAGGAACGACACGCTGCAGGAGGCCAAGGAGCAGCGGGTGTCGCTGAAGTGTCGTAAACAGCTGAGGGTGGAGGAGCTGGAGATGGTAACACACACACACACACACACACACACACACACACACACACACACAGACCGTGACACCTTCATCCAAATCTTCTCCTTCTCTTCAGTCCGAGGACATCCGTCTGGAACCAGAACTCTATGAACCCTGTAAGTCCGACATCAGCCGCCTGTGTCCAAACGTGGCTTTTGGAAACGCTCAGGTGAGGATCAGTGGAAATGGCGAGAATCAGGCGGACGCAGACGTGTATCTCACTCCTCCTTTCCTCGCTCCTTCCTCAGGTGATCGAGTGTCTGAAGGAGCAGAAGAAGCAGCTGAGTCAGCGCTGTCATCAGAGGATCTTCAAGCTGCAGGAGGTGGAGATGACCGACCCGGAGCTGGACTACCAGCTGATGAGGGTCTGCAAACAGATGATAAAGGTGAGAGAGGAGCGCCTGACCACGTCGCACCAGCAGCACTTTGATGACCTTATGACCTTTGACCTTTCTCTGCAGCGGTTCTGCACAGAAGCCGACACCAGGAACGTCCTCCAGTGTCTGAAACAGAACAAGAACAGCGAGCTGATGGACCCCAAGTGTAAACAGATGATCACCAAGAGACAGATCACGCAGAACACGGGTCAGTCACACACTCGCCGACATCAGCCTCGTCTGAATCAGCGCCATGGTCACCTCACTGACCCGCCGCCGTCTCCTCTGTCCTCTCACAGACTACAGGCTGAACCCGGTCCTGAGGAAAGCTTGTCGGGCTGATATCCCAAAGTTCTGCCAGTCCATCCTGAACAAGGCCAGCGAGGACAACGAGCTGGAGGGTCAGGTCATCGCCTGCCTCAAACTCAAATACGCCGACCAGGTCAGTCCTGCAGGAGGTCATCGTGGACTTCTTAAAACCCGCATGCAGACCGCAGGAGTCCAAAAGTTCTTAGACAGACCAGCACGAACACGACCACGGTCCTGGTTTCTAAAGTCAAAGTTAAAACTGAATCTCTGCTGAAACTGCTGTGTTTCTCTCTTAAATCGTGTGTTTTCTGACTGGGGTTTGGTTCAGAGGTTGTCTCCAGACTGTGAAGACCAGATCAGAGTGATTCTTCAGGAGTCGGCGCTCGACTACAGACTGGACCCACAGCTGCAGAGACACTGCACAGATGAGGTCAACACACACACACACACACACACACACACACACACACACACACACACACACACACACAGAAACCAACCCCTCTTAACTCCACCTCCTCTCTCCTCCTGCAGATCTCCAGGTTGTGTGCGGAGGAGGCAGCAGCTCAGGAGCAGACGGGTCAGGTGGAGGAGTGTCTGAAAGTCAACCTGCTGAAAATCAAACAGGACGGCTGCAAAAAGGTCAAACTTCACCACCTTTTTTTAATCGAACCTTCAGAGTCTCAAAATTAGAGAAAGGCCCGAGACTTCCTAAACGAATGTCCAAAATCTCACGTGTCTTTGTCAGAAACTCATAAAAGTATAAAAAGTGAAAGTTTGTGGGAATGCCCCTTTAAAGGTCTCACACACTGAGATGATCAGGTGGTTGACTCCGCCTCCTTCGCTCCGTCCTCCTCTCTCCTCTTTCACAGGAGGTCCTGAACATGCTGAAGGAGAGTAAGGCCGACATCTTCGTGGACCCGGTCCTCCACACGGCGTGCGCCCTGGACCTCAAACACCACTGTGCCGCCATCACACCGGGCAGAGGACGGCGTGGGTGCTCTCTCTCTCTCTCACACACACGTTTGTATTTTAGCGACATTAGAGGAGGCGTGGTCGTCTTAACTGTCGCTCGCTCTCTCTCTCTCTCGCAGAGATGTCGTGTCTGATGGAGGCGCTCCAGGACAAGAGGGTCCGTCTGCAGCCCGAGTGTAAGAAGAGACTCCAGGACCGGATCGACATGTGGAGCTACGCCGCGAAGGTGAACCGTCAGCTGATCCGGCGTCATCATCATCATCATCACACTGTGACCTCTCTGTATCTGTAACCTGTCCCTCCGTCCTGCAGGTGGCGCCAGCGGAGGGCTTCGCAGACCTCGCCGTGCAGGTGATGACATCACCCTCCAAAAACTACATCCTCCTCATGATCGCACTGAGCGTGTGCGTCCTCTTCCTGGTTGGGCTGCTGTGCGGCCGGATCACAAAGCGAGTGACGAGAGAACTGAAGGACCGGTAGAGGGCGGGTCCTCCTTAAAGACAGACTGACTCCTCCCCTTCCTCCTCCTCCTCCTCCTCTTCCTCTCTCAGATGCCCGGTCTGTAACCAGCCAACCTGCACAGTGCCAACGCCAGCGCCCACATCTGGAACTCCTCTGTTTATTGGCTGCTGCTGAATAATTGCATCCCAGAATTCCTCTGACGCTCCAGCCTGTGTGGGCGCCGTGACTCTCTCTCTGATTGGAGCTTTTTTTTCCTCCGTCATCTTCGCCCCTCCCTAAAAAAAATCTGCTTTTGCTGATGTCTTTCCTCGGGGTGGGATGTGAGGACATCCGCCATCTTTAGGGATTCTGAATTTGCGCTGTAGATGATGTGACTGAGGGCCGCCGCCGCCGCCGCCGCTGAGGTCAGGATTGCTTCCCCCTCGTTGACCCTGATGCTTTTTGTGATATTTAAAGGAGACTGGAGCATGAAGAGCAGCTTCTCCACACTGACTGTGGCTGCCTGAACCGCACAAGGAGCTAAACGAGTCGATCAAACCTTTCTGTTGAGTTCTGTGGCGTTCCCGATCATTTCGATATTTTCTCATCGTCTTCGCTCGCCAACGGGATCGACGTCCAAACGGCCAAGTACGGATCTCTGCGTCTGGAACGGTGACGAAGTTTTCAGATATTTCACCGTGTCCTGTGTCGCCCCGTTTTTTCTGTTGCCTTTCATGAACCGACATAAAACACACACACACACACACACACACACACACACACACACACACACACACACACACACACACACATCTGAACACGCTGTAATAAGTCCAGTTTACTTCTTTTGTGAGTCATTTTTGATAAGAATATAACATTTAAAGCTGAACTTCATCTTAAAAACAGAAGGTTAATATTCGAGTTGATTTATGAATGACCTCTGACCTCCTTATTTATGCTGAACTCAGCTGTAAAAACATCGAAACTTGATCGAAGTTTGTCGGTTTGATCATTTTAAAGCTCATTTACTCTCAGAAAGTCCTCCATGTTTATCTGCAGAGGGTTTCAGGTTAACATGAAAACCGGAGCGTTAAAGACGGACGACGCGCCTCAAAGTGAAGCTGAAATGATGTTCTGCACATTTGGAGCCGTAGTTCTGATATCCCATCCAGAACCAGAACTCCTTTTTAACTGATAACGCTGTGCTGCGTTTGTTAAAAGCCTTTTCTATTTATGGAAACTTTAAAAAAAGAAATAATACAACTGTTCCTTAGATTAGGGCGAGATCTCACTGTGTTGATTTTAAAGCTCCTGTGAGGAGTTTTTATCTGTTTATAAAACAGACTGAAATCGACACAGCGCCTCTCTGTGGCCTGTGAAGGACATGACAGCGCTGTTCGGTGAATTATTAGTTTGAGACGATTCTTTAACTCTTATTCTGATGACTGATTCAAGATGACTTATCACACCAAACACGAGCTTCAAGTGTTCATACCGCAGCCAGCCTCCAGGGGGAGCTCTAAATCTTTGGCTTCACTTTTGGACGTCTGTAATGTCATCCATGTGTTCACAGAAATGTTAATGTTAAGGAGGAAAATCTTGAGTTCTGATTCTGCAGATAAATGTGGTCGATTGATGGAGCAGACGCCAAACTCTCAAGCTGACTGATATTTTATTAAAACACACGACCTTCATGGTGACAATAATTCAACGACTTTATGATTTAGTACGGATGATTTTGGAAACCCAGACGCAGAGTGACTGAATATTTCCACATGAGGAATAAACAAATTGTTGCTTTAAGGCTGATGAGCTGTAATTAAAACGGATGGACACTTTATTTTTATTTATTTTCTTGATCTAATTCATGAATATTTAATTTTGCACTTTAACTCGATGTACAGGACGTCTGAGCTGCTGGTTTGCCTCGTTCATCCATTTGCTGCTTTTGTTTGTTTGATTTTCACACAGGAGGATTGTGCAGCATGTTCACACTTATATAACGCTGAAGTTTAAACTCATTATTTCTAACAGTGAGAGCGCCACCTTCCTGTTTGAGCAGGAAACAGGAAGTGAGTCTCTACGTGTACAAACTTTTATCAGCGTGCCGTTTTCTTCTGTTCAGATGATATCATGTAATACGAAAACGTAACAGATTTATCATGTCCAGGTTTGATTTTGCTGTACAGATCAAATTTGTCAATTTAATAAAACTGTCTGCAGATTTTCATACCTTTGACTCCAGCTGACTCTGCCTTACAGTTACAGACTTTATTTTACAAAGAACAAGTTAGGAAAAAAGATTAAGACTTTGAAAATTAAAGTTGTTCATTTACAGGAATAAAGTCATAATAAGTAATAACTAACGAGAAAAAAGTCAAAGAAATTACTTATGAGAATAAAGTCATACTAAAATGATTTCTTACAAGAATAAATTCGTAATAAAATAATTACTTTTGAGAATAATGTCAAAGTGAAATCATTACAAGAATTAAGCCTTATAATACGACATAGTATTAGGGCCATATTAGCAAAAAAAGTTTAAGACTTTGACATAAAAGTCATTAACTTACAGGAATAAAGTCATCACTAATGAGAAAAAGTCATAAAGTAATAACTCACAAGAATAAAGTCGTTATAAAATCTTTATTTACGAGAATAAAGTCAAAACGAAGTAATTTCTAACGACAATATAGTCGTAATAAAGTAATTACTTACGTGTATAAAGTTGTAATAAAGTAATCACTTGCAAGGATAAATTCGTGATAAAATGTATCTTTTAATGCTCCACAGCGCTCATTTAAACAATTAACAACAGGTTAGAATAGTTATTAGCTACGACTTTCTTCTCGTACGTAATGATTTTATTACAACTTTATTCTTGTAAGTAATGTTTTTCTCACGATTTTACTCTCATTAGTAATTATGAAGTCTTAATTTTTTTTTCTTAATGTGGCCCTAATGCTTTGTTGTTATTTTTTAGTTTGTAACTTTTTTGTGTGTCGTTAACTTACGTTGTTTTTTAAAATATGCACTGTTTCTTCTTCTTCTTTTTTTTTTTGCAGCAGGCTTTGGTTTCTTTTTTTTTTCATCGGTAACTTTCGTTGTGACTTCTTTTTTTTTTTGCTTTTTTTTTTATCAGCAGCAGTGGCAGTTCTCGGCCACCGTAGTACAATGTAAAAATATCCTCCATTTTATAAACATTTTAATGCACATACAGTCTAAAAAAATATAACGCCCCCTCTGGTACTTGAAGTTTAGGAATGACCTTGTTTGTCTTATATCAATAAAGTTTTGAAGTGGACCTTTTTCCCTCGGGTCACGTGAGAGCATGTGACGTCATGCCCGTGTGATCCAGTAAGGGCGGAAGTGAAGGGAACTCTAATATCTGAGACAACCGGAGAGTCCATATCGGGAAAACAGAGACAGAAAACGGTGAATTACTGTCTCGGAGAGCATCTTAGGCTCTTTAATTCGCGCTGTTGTCCTCTAATCTCCCCTACAAAGAGCTAAAATGACGGCGGCGGTGTTTTTCGGCTGCACCTTCATCGCCTTCGGCCCAGCTATCGCTCTGTTCCTGTTTACCATCGCCCGGGAGCCGCTCAGGGTCATTTTCCTCATAGCAGGGTAAGAGTCCTCTCATATTTAGGAAAATGAACACCATAATAGACGCATATGTTCACTAAAAACTGTGTTACTTGCTCTATTCTGTCGTTGAATATGATTAAACTCATTAGCATTAGCTTACTAGCTGACTGACCGCAGTAATGAAGCTAGTTTCAGCTAACTGTGGAGGCATGTGTCCATTATCGGACAAGCTTTTTACAAAGTGGTCTAGTGTTTCTTTTTCTCCTCCTAAAACCACCAATAAAGGTTTGAAGCGCTCAAACACTCACTTCAGAATAATCACCATTCAGACATCCAGTCCAACATTTTGGTTTTAAAGACAAACCTCAGATAGAACAAAGAGTCTTTATATATTTTTATAGATATGTAGATTTAGTTATGAATGCTCAGTCACTAATGGTCAGGAAACAGTGATGTTGAGAGGTTTATAGTGACCTCCTCTTCAGCTGAGAGAGTCCAAAGTGATGCACCAGTGTGTTACCATGAAGGTTTGGTGTATCAGTGTTTTACTATCATATTATTGAATTTATTATTGATACTCCAAAACCCAAAGAAGGTTTCCGTCTTAAAAGTAAAGTGTGGACTGTACCATTTTGGTTGCACAGGTGAATTACAGAACATAACGTTTAATTCTCTTAATAGGAACATAACAGTCACATCGTCATAGCACTTTGTAAACCCTTGTTTCTAAAGTGCTATATAAATAAAAGTTATTGTTATTATTGTTGTTGTGATTATTATTGTGATAGTGTAAATATATTTTCTTGGGCTCCATATGCTGAGTGTATGAAGTGTAATTCATATGGAGACCTAAAATATAAGTACAGCGCCTCAAAAAGTTGACCCAGTATCATCTCACGCATAGTAAGAGTGTCCTAATTTAACAGGCTTTTAAATGAGTTTGTAATAACTGAATTAAAGGGATATTCCGTCATAAAATGAACTTAGTGTGTTTGACCCTAAATTAATTTTTATGCCGAAATATCCCTTTAATGCCAAAGAAAGAAAACCAAAATGCTCTCATCCTTTTTATGGTAAAAGCTTGACCCTCTGTTTCAGGGAGTTTTGGCCTGAAGTTCTCAGAAGTCTTCTCCTAACAAACGCTCTTGTCCTGTTTGGTTCCTAAAATGTGTGAATGAACTTTAAGAGTCAAACAAAGTATTTTATATTGTGGAAAAACAATTCAGACCAATAAGAAGTAGACTTTGATAAACAGACAAAACAGTTATTCAGCAGTCTTCAGAGATGTCACTGACAACTAAAACTCGGTCAGATCAGATCTCAGCCTGTGAAGCTCAGAGATGATCAGAGATAAACAGCACGTCAATGTGAAATGGACGGGATTCGATCACATAGAGACGGTCAGTAGTATAGCCAATAAAATCATATAAATATGATTATTTTCCAGATTGTGTTGTTATCAGAGGGGTTCCTGGTTTCAGCTCAAAAACCACGTCTGAGTCTCAGATGAGCAGAGACTGAAATTGAAGGTTTTCTGTTTCATAAATGTCCTTTTGTGTTTGACTTCCTCTCTCCTCAGGGCCTTTTTCTGGCTGGTGTCTCTGTTGCTGTCCTCCCTGGTGTGGTTCATCTCAGTGCAGATCAGTAACAAGGAGAGCGCAGCGCAGCAGAAAGGTCTCCTCATCTTCGGCGTGGTCCTGTCAGTCCTGCTGCAGGAAACCTTCCGCTTCGCGTACTACAAGCTGCTGAAGTAAGCTGCTGCAGAACATCCATTCTTACCAGTTTTAGCTCACATCTTACAGGATTGTAACATATCTCTGAGCACGTCATATCAGAACTTTACTATTTTTGAGTATTTTATGTAGCTGCTGTTAGAAAAGGAACCAAACAAGAACAGAGGAGAAACTCCCCGAGTCATGAGAACAAACTACAGACTCATTTTACTTTGTTTATTCAGTGTTATTAAAGAAGAAGTTATTATGTCTGTACAGTCAGATGTCTGTCACACTTTAAATCACTTCAGTCTGCAGTTTATAGCGGTTTCTGTTTCTGGGACAGACTGGTGCTCTTGATCATGAACGGCCACTAGAGGACACTTTATTATCTTGTCCTGTTAGAAACAGGTCACCTGTCTAAAAACATTGCTGGTCTCTCCTCACATGTGTCACATGTTTCTTCTCCAGCCTCCTGTTTGTTCCAGTTTCTCACCTGTTTGACCTTTTCTGCTCATCTTCATTGTTGCAGCTCATATCGTCTTTCACTCACTGTCGATGTCTTTGGTACACCACGTGTTAAACGGACATCACAGGCTGGAGTCGGAGGTTTCTGATCTAATTTTCTTTCTTCTCTTCAGGAAAGCAAATGAAGGCCTCCTCGCTCTCAGTCAGGAGGAAACCATGCCCATCTCCATACGGCAGCTCGCCTACGGTAAGATTTCCTGACTCATCACTAATAATACTTACCTTAACTTCTCAATAAGATTTCAAACATATCGAGACGTTAGACTGAACTAAACACCAAAGGAGGCCTCTGATTTTTTCAGATTACAGGGCTTCAACTTCTTGTACATCTGTGTTAAATACATCCGACTGTTTTTTTGCCGGCTGTGGCGTTGTGGCGTCATATTGTGGCGTCATACTGTGGTGTCAGGTGTACTCAGTGCTTAAATAAACCCCCTTTTCTGACATTATACTGGTCCCAGTTTCTGGCCTCGGTTTCGGCTTCATGAGTGGAGCGTTCTCAGTGGTGAACATCCTTGCTGACTCTGTGGGGCCGGGGACGGTCGGTATCCATGGAGACTCACAGCACTACTTCCTGTCCTCAGGTAACCTTTCCCTCTCAGAGATTTGATAAACCGCCCAGAACTGAGTCTGTTTTTGGAATCTTACCAGTAAAAGGTTTTTATTTTTCAGCGTTTATGACGATGGCCATCATTTTACTACACATGTTCTGGGGCGTGGTTTTCTTCGACGCCTGTGAGAAGCAGCGATGGTGGGCGGTGGCTGCCGTGGTCATCAGTCATCTTGTCGTGTCCTGTCTGGTGAGTGTTGCTGCTCCTGATCTTAGAACTTTTTATAACACGATACCGAACCCTCATAACTCTGAAAGTGACTGGAAGACAGGGACAGATTTAACATCAGGATTAGGACTGCACAGAACTACTGTCATAAAGAGGGGTTACCCTCTGATGCCTCTTTAAGTGATAGTGCATTAAATGGAAAATGAGCCATTTGGAGTCCCCTTCATTTGGGCCAGGGAGCACCGAGAGGGACAGGAAGAGACTGAATAGACTGGTCAGGAGGGCCGGTTCTGTCCTGGACTGCTCTTTGGACTCCCTGGAGGAGGTGGGTGAGAGGAGGATGTTAACAAAGCTTGTATCCATCATGGACAATCCCTCTCACCCACTGCACCAGACTGTGGGGGCTTTAGGCAGCTCCTTCAGCAGCAGACTGAGACTCCCACCCTGCAGGACGGAGCGCTACCGCAGATCATTCCTCCCCTCTGCAATAAAACTTTACATTGAACAGTAACAAAACTGGATTTACACCACCACTTTTTTTTTTCTCTGGCTTTTAAATTGTGTATATTGTAGAAAGCTTTATTTTTTCTTCTCCCCCTTTTTCCTTTTTTTCTTAATTATTACATTTATTTAAGTTCTTAATATTAGGACCCTTATTGTTATAACTGCATTTTTGCACTTTTTGTCTTTTCTGTGATGCTGCTGGGACAAAAAAAATTTCCCCCATGGGGGATCAATAAAGGAATATTCTATTCTATTTGGCAGTAGGTATGCAACGATTACAAATGGTAAAATGACAATCGGCGGTGAAATGTCCGACAGTTAGCGCTACCGTTTCAAATAATAATTACCGTTAAAATCGTGTTTGATTGCCGCACTCTGGAAAAGCTCACAGTGATACTGCTCAGTGCTGAGAAGAGCCGCCGCACTGCGCAGTACACAACTTGTAAACATGGCGGAGGGCAGTTCTGCCGACCGTGTTGAAGAGATTTTTCCACTGTCAAAGAAAACAAAGTCCAAAGTCTGGGCGTATTTCGGCTTCTACAAAGACGCAGAAGGGACACTGATTGAGGACGGCCAACCAGTTTGCTGAAAATGCCAAAAAAAATCTCAGCGAAGGGTGGAAACACTTCTAACATGATCTCTGCTCTACGTGACAACCAGACAAACTGTACAGCGAGTTAAAGGAACTACACATTTGTTTACATGTGGTTGTATTGTTTGATATAGTCGTGATGCTCTATTATATATTTGTAAGAGTAGATCCTCTGTTATTTAAGGTTAAGTTCACTCTGCGTGTTATTTTGATCCTGTCTGATGATGAATGTTACAGAAGCTCCAAGACTTTGGTGATATTTTGGTTTCTGCTGACGTCTCTCACTCCTCCTCTCCAAACAGACCTTCCAGAACCCGGAGTACATCGCCAGTCTCGTCCCCACCTACGTCATCCTGTTCCTGATGGGGATCTGGGCCTTCTACTCGGCCGGCGGCTCGCTCCGGAACCTTAAACTTTGCCTGACGTGCAAAGACAAGGACTTCCTGCTGGCTAACCACCGGCCCAGATAACGCAGCACATCAGGCAGTGTGCAGGACTCTCAATCCAAAGATCACTGAGTTCACACACACACACACACACTGACACACACACACAAACACGGATCACAGCAAAAAGGGAGCGTTCACCCTCTGATAATCTGCTTTTTCACTTAAGATTTCTTTCATTATCTTAAGTAAAAGACCGAAACGTAAAAGCAGCTTCTTCACAGAAACAAGGTACAAAAATGGGAGATGATTTTTCTTCTGATGATCACTTTGTTAGTTTGACGTTCCTAAACATGATGAGGATGTAAATATATCTCTCTGCCCGGCTGACAGCGCCCCCTGTTTGTTGCCTGAAGCTCTTTAAGAACCAAACAGATGAACAAACACCTTTCACCTCCTGTACATAGTCTGTTTTCAGCTCTTCTGTGTCCGATGTGTTCAGGCACTTTTTCACAAACAGAAACAAACTCTTCTTTGTGAACATGTTGATGCGTTTTCAATTTCATGACGTGTAGATACGACAAGTCTCAACCTTTCTTCCACACGCGATCCTCGGTGGTCGGCGTCAAACTTTTCTTTACAGAAGCTGAGAGAAGATGTCGCTGATATTTATTCATTTCAATTTTCTTAAGAGTAGATTTTCAGACAACACGTTTTGATCAAAGGACTCACAGATATCAGATCATTTTACGAACTTTTCGGCTCCCTCCTGAACTCGGCGCTCATTTCTGACCTTTTGTGGTCGTAGAGCCGATAATCGATCAGTGATTCAGTTTGAAGAAAAGAAATTCAGGGTACCAGTGTTTTCTTTTGGATGAATCTTTTTAGTAGTTTTTTTTCAATAAGTCAATTGGAGCTCCGTCATGTCCAACTGATGAGGCTCTGAATAATAAACCTTAACTTTAGTATTATTTAATTTTTAAAGAATAATTTATAGACCGAACAGATTAATCATTACCCAAATAATTGATTCTTGTAGTCTGTACTGCATAAACAAAAGTTATGTGATCTTAAACCAAACCGATGTACTGACGGATCAGGCGTCAGACGGTTAAACTCCTGATTTCACACTCAGACGGTCCAAAACCTGAACAGATTTAGGTTTTTTTTGGTTAATCCGTCTCTGAATGTTTCATTCCTTTGTTGCCTTTTTTTGATTCGTTTTTTTAGTGAGGGAGTTCAGGAGGTTACGATATCTGATGGAAATTCCCAAGTGTTTTATTTTGCAACTGATTTTTATTTCCTGTAAATTTTCTGTGTACAGTTTGTAACGTTAGGAAGGAAGACGGGGTTCAGGGCGGGGTGAGTTTTAGTAAGCGGATAAAGATGTAAAAAAAAAAAAAAACGACATCTCTGGTCTGTGTTGCTTTTCTTTATTTCTGCTCTTTTCTCCAGACTCTTCAACATTTTAAAAAGAGTCGCTTGAGGCAGAGGATAGGTCCTGTATATTTGTGTGACACACCGCTGCTGTACCAAAGAAGCTCCCACAGTTCAGTGAAGTTTTCTGAGCTTTAATAACAGAAAAAAACGCAGTGACCAGTGGTTACACGTGCACAACAGATATAATATGTGTACACTTTGCAACGTGTATCATTGCAAACAAAGAACATAAAGCGGGGTCAACAAAAATTACAGCTACCTAAGCTCACCTCTCCATCACAGTGCAGGTAAGACCGCCCCTTATATAACCTACCGGCTTTCAAACGCAGTGCCCACATGACCCAAACCCAGTGAAACCAACGGCAACCAGACAAAAGTAATTAAACGCAGTGTAACCGATAAGCAAAGCAACATTATGGCTCCTACAGCATCATTCTGGTAGATCTGTTTTATAAACCTGACTGAAGCTGCAGTGATCCGTCCTTCATGGAGGTCATGATGTTTGGCTTTTGTTAAAGGAAGAGGAGTCTGAACTCATGTGTTCGCTGTCATTCTTGGCCAGGTTTCCTTTGAAAAAGAGATCTCTAACCCAAAGGATTAGAGGCTTACTGCTCTAAAAAAATGTTTTTATTCAATTCTCGACTAAAAGTGTCTCCTCCTATCATCCTACCTGCTCCCCTCGCCCCCCTCTCAGTTCTGTCCCCATTTATGAAAACGGAAACCCTCCTGACTGGGACACACAAAGCCTGCAGAGTCAAAAGTCTTTTACCCTGTCACTCGGTCAGACAGACAGACGCAGGATGTTTTTCCTGTGCAGAAAAATCAGACATTCACATGCTAATGTGAGTGAGTGCAGCTGCTGACACTGGAGTCCTCTCAGCAGTGTTAAAGACCTGTGTTCAGGTGTAAGAAGAGGTGAGGCTGTGGTCAGGTTAGATCAGGTTGTCACAGTCTGAATCGCACAGAGGAGGAGGCCATGGGACACAGAGAGGCTTTACTTGGAGAAATTCAAGAACTAAACCTTATATATATGTGGGCCCTGGATGACAAATTAATGTGAATATTACCAATGCCGATGTTGGATTTCATGACAAACTGAACTAAACGTGCAAAAATGATTAGTAACCTAACCCAAACCCTACATCCTGGAGAACTATGAATATTTGCTATTGATTACTTTTAGATGATAAATATTTTTAAGATGTTTAACGGCGAGCTGGGTTTTATAACTTTTTAAAAGTACGTTACACTTACTCACCTTAAAAAAAAAAAAAAGTCTAGTATTTGATTATTTTAAAATTATTTTCAATCTTTTAATATGAATATTTCAATGAACCCTAACTCAGTTGTAAAAAAAAAAACTGGTTCTGAGGGGAAAAAGCTGGATCTTGTAGTGATTCTTGGGGATTTTCCGACCCAAAAAGCCCAGGTGACTTTGAACATTAATAATGACATACAGTATTCATAGGGAAGTCGATGTGAAATCACACGGCTAAAAAATTAGTTTTTCAGGATCGTAACAAGCTAAAAATGATGATACATTTTTATTTCAAGAGTAAGTTTTTTGTGGAGCTTTAACACAGCCCGTAAGAATCTGTACAGCGGTTAGCCGGGTTAGCAGTTAGCTAGACTGCGGTACAGCTAGCTGTTAGCTTATATTAATTTATGCTAGTTTATGCTAACAGGGTTCCCATGGTCTCTATCGAGCCAGAGCAGTGGATTAAACCACTGCTCTGGTTCGATAGAGCCAGCTCTTGTTATACAGCTTTATTTAAATATCGAAAAAGTAACTAAGTACCATAATAATGAACTGAAGCCAAATGATTTCCACAGTTTCAGGTTTTATTAGTTGTTCTGTGTTTCTGAACTGTCTTTGGTTATTCTGGATGTTTCTGAAATGGGTACGTATTAGGGCAACATTAAGAAAGAAAAAGACTAAGAGATTAAAGTCATTAATTTACGAGAATGGAGTCGTTATAAAATCATTACTTACGAGAATAAAGTCGTTACCTACTTCTACTACTACTATACTTGTGATAATATAGTGCTGATGTGCCAAAATATTAAGTATCTCCTTGTTTGAGAAATATATATTAAAGTACATTTTCACGAAATTCTCCATGGCTCTATTTTCAACAACTTTAATCTTAAACAGCAGGTTAGAATAGAAGGACCTTATTCTCGTAAAAGTCTTATTTTTATCTTAATGTGGCCCTAATACTCAGTCGTAAAGGTTTTTGGTTATTCTGTATGTTTCTGAATTTTTTTGCAATCCCCCATTTCATCAAATTCAAGATAAATTTCTGTCAATTTGAGTGAAATTAATTGATTACATTCTCGATTGTGATCAAATTTCAAGTGTTTTTACGTGGTTTAAGAAAAGGCTCTCATGGCCTCAGAGAATAATTATCATTTTAGGTGGAGTTACAGGTGTTTTTGTTTTATTTGACAGATTTTTCACACTGGACTCAAACGTTACTGTGCTGCTCCTCTGTGAGACCACACGGGGGCGCTGTTCTCAGTGTGAACCATAGACAGTCACACCTGTCACGTTGGAGTTTAGAGCACAGTTAACAGTTGGTTTTACTGTTTTACTGAGATATGAACTAAACTTTTTAATGTTTAATCAAACTGTCAGCCTCTCTCTGTCTCTCTGGTTTATTGTGTTTGATCAATTGATTTGAAATTGAATGATAATTAATCTTAAAAAAATCTAAATTTCAGATGAGGGTTTATTTCGATGGTCTCTGCAGTAGGACAGTAGGTCAGATCATCAGAGGGTCTGAACCTCCACATTAGAGCCTCCCGGCGTGTTCGGCCCCCTTTTTGCTCCGCGCGCCCACCTGCGCATATTTTATGCTAATGAGCAGGTGCATCGACTCTTGAGGCGCGCGGAGGGCCGCTCGCGGAGGAGCCGGATGGAGCAGCGGAGGGAGCAGCGGGAGTCCAACCGGAGGGTTCTTTTCACCAGGTGATGCTGTCCAAACCCGACCGAGAGCGGATCCGATAAAGACGAATGGATCCTCATTGTAGACGGAGCGGGAAAAGGCGTTTGCACTTTTTATCTTTGAGTTTCATCCTCATTTATCAAGGTGAGTCTCCTCCTCATCACACACCTGTCCGACCTGAGAAACAGAAGAAACAAAGATGGTTTGATGGTGGAAGGGGAAAAATAGGGGAAAGTTGTTTTACATATTTTAGATTTATTTTCTCTTTAAGATCGAAATAAAGGTTTTAAGCTTGCACCTGTGTTTTTTTTTTGTTCATCTACTCTTGGACTGAATTTAATATCTTTTAAAATGTAATTATTTCTAGATCTCTTCTTTTATTCAGCCTTTTTATTGTCTTGATTTCAGCTCATCTGTCCTGGGGTGTTGAGAGAGTGAACCGGTCTCATTGGGATCAGTTTAATAAGTGAGTTATTTCCCCCTTCTATATTTAAGTGTCTGTTTTTTTAATAGTTTTATCAGCATTTTAATGTTTTTAATCACCTGTTTATGGCTGTTTGATATATTTTCATGGTTATTTTTTTATATGCTTATCAGATGTTTATAACCTCAACTTTAATCATTTACTTTTAATTTGCTGTTTAGAAAAATGGTAATTAAAGTTTTGAGGACCGCAGTAACTGGATGAATCAGTATTGATCACAATGACACTGAAAACTAGGATTATAATTTCATTGTGGATCTAAAAGAAAATTATTGTTTGTTGCTCTTTATAGTCGAATATCTCCAGTTTCTTCAGTTTTTAATCATAGTAAGATAATGGATGATTTTTTTTATATACTGTCTCAACAGTTTGGAAACAGAGGAAGCTTTTATTCTTTTTTTAACACTAACCAGATGATTTGTTTTAGGAAATAATCAAACTGATCATTGAAAGTACTGTCACCTGTATCCTTTGTTCAAACTTCAGACACGTCTTTGTCGTCTGAATTCATAGAGAGACCTCTCCTCTGTTGATGGATGTTTTTTTTTTTTTGTGGTTCTTTGGTTTTTGATGGTTTGGTTGGTTCCTGGTTGGTTCCTGGTTGGTGGTGGGTTTGTGGTGTCAGGGGGTGAAAGCTGCAGCAGGAACAAACCTCTCCTTGTTCTCTCTGTCCCAGCAGCGGGAGCAGCAGGATAAAGCAGCAGAAATGGGACACCGCTTCCCAGGGAGGGCAGGTAGGCAGCCGCATTGATCACTGATGCTGATGGAGCTGCTTCAGGCAGCAAATACACAACCAGAGACCCGCACCCCAGAAAAGCCTGCAGCGCTCAGTCACACCAAAACACAGGAGTGAAGAGGCGAACAGAGCTTTACCAAACCTGACAGAGCTTCGATCAAACAATTCATTCAGATCATTTCACTAAATCCACTTTGGACTTCCAATTATGTAAACTTCAGATCAGACACTCTGACTTACAAAGATGTAGACATGTAATTTAATGCAGAAGATTGAAGAACAAACAGGAATTAAAGTATAAAAAAACTGATTTAATGTAATTCTTTGAGTAGAGAAACGGCAGGAGAGTTTTAGAGCCAGGGAGGAAAAGAAAATAAGAATAAGGGAGAAATTTCAAGACGAGACGAGATTTCATTGCAAGAAAAAAAGTCAACTTTTAATGTTGATAAAAACTTTAATTTGATTAAAGGAAAATGTTGATGAAGTAAAAAAAAAACAAAACAAATTTAACAGACCAGAGTTTAAAGAGACAGGGGTTAATATAGTTCTTTTCAATATTTATGTTTGATAGAAAGAGAAGCTGATCGTCCTGAGAAAAAGTTCCCTGAAGATAGAAGGATAGATAGATAGATAGATAGAATGATAGATAGATAGATAGATAGAAGGATAGATAGATAGATAGATAGATAGATAGATACTTTATCTATGATGAAGGAAATTCAGTTTCTCAGCTGCACAAATCTGAAAAGTAGACATTAAACTTAAAGTTAATGTGTAATCATCGGCTTGTATCATAAACTGATTTATGAAGTCATAAACAATGATAAGTTCAACATTTAAAGTGAAGAGTGTGTACTAGGTCACCCAGCTGAGGCGTAAATGACAAACAGCATGTGTCCACTTCTTCTCCTCTGCTGGATTCGCTGCGTCTGTGTAACAAACAGATCAGGCCTTCTTTATTTTATCTGCTGCTTATCCTACGATAACGAGTAAAACTCTCGGATTGGTGTCAGATGAGAAGACCACATAAGACATCTTTGGTTGAACATGTTTGTGCTTCTTGGGCTGGTTAAAAACTCTGAAGAGTGAACTGGCTTGATTAACCCGTGTGTTTGATTCAGAATTGACTTTTAATTTACACATGAGCAGCATGAAGGAAGCATTAACCTGTGAGTGAAGGAGCATTTCAACCTGACATGGTTTTATGTGCATTTGTCAACATTATCATTTATTTATGGCTACGTAGATTTTTCTCTTTTTTCCTGACGCTGTGACCGTTTCTCCAAATGTGTAACAAAAAAAAAAAACAGCACCCTCTTCAGTTAATTTAGTCCCTCATCCCTGACCCTGATACTCAGATTCAGTTTGTCATTAAGTTGTAGTAAAATATGTGTAATCTTGGTTAAACTGTGTGGTGGCTGCAGTTAACTTTAGCTTTTAAAGTGTTTTATTAAAGTTGTGACTTCTTTTCTATAAATCAAGCAAGAATACCAGAATAAAGTCTCTGAAAAACACATATTTCTTTTCAAATGTCCCCTGAGATCAGGCTGAAATTCAACCTCGATGACACAAACTGATAGTGACTGAATATATATCGTATGTTTCCTTTTTTTCTTACCACTGTCGGAGTATTAATGTGCTCCGCAGTGACATTTTGTTGCCATGTGATGAGGGTCCCAGCAGGAATATACAGTAGCTGCTCTGTTGTCTCAGTCTTCCTCTATCTGAGCCCCCATCACCCTGAATGTGGTCGCTCCCTTTGTGCTGCTTCCCTTTGGCTCAGAGAGGCGTGAGAATCTGGTCCAAGCAGTCAGGGTTAGGAAACCAACAAAGCAATTAGTAGCACAGGTCGCAGGTCACCGGTAAAGAGAAAAGTCTATCTCACGTCAGATCTCTGAGACACCGTGTCTATAGCTTTGTGATGTCTGGGTCACGATCTGCAGGGTCTGGTTTGACCTGTTTGGTCTCAATATCTCCTGATACTGATCAGGGATTGACGAATTGTGGTCAAACATCGCTCGTTTACCTCTCACTCTCTGCCCTGATGTCTGCTTTGTCTCTGCGTTTTGATGTGAAAGTCTCAGTTTGAGAACTCAGGTGTCCAGGAGGAAACACTTCTCAACTCCTGTTCCTCAAAAAGCAGTTTTTTGTTCAATATCCATCCCTGAAATTCCTAAATTCACCATCCCAATGTCATCCAAAAAAATCAGGATTTCCTCCAGAGTTTTATTCTCTATTCAGAATTTTAATGTCAGCAGCTCTTCTTTGCAAACCTCAAAATTTTGAGAGGAAAAGTCGTATTTATGTTCAACAAACTACTGTGAAAATCTCTCGCTGCTGTTTCCATTCGACTAAAAGAGGACAGACACAAGGGGGAGAAGGTGGTAGAGAGGGTGGGGTTGTAGACCTGATGGGAACGCTGAGTTGGAGTCGTTAATGAAGACCGGATGACAGCTCTTTTCTCTCATGCCTCTTCTTTTCCCAGCGCTGCCTCGGTTCCATCCTCACCACTTTGGATCTGGTTTTGGCAACAATCAGAGTAATTCTGGGAGGAATTTTTGGCCCCATACAAACGAGAAAAAAGAGAAGAAGTAAAAGCTTGAGTGTATTTTAATTAAATCTTTATGAACCCGTCATTCGAGAGCAGAGCTAGTTTTTCAGATGTTGCTTGATAATATTTTAGTCATAGTTTTAATTAAAAGAATCAGACTGTGTTACAAGGACCTAACTTTGGCTTACTGTTACCTAACACGCCTTGCCGAACGATGCCGTAGCCAGAAGTTAAAATGATCAGATTTGTTGGATCAGGATGGAGGAGCTGCTGACATGTTGTTCGGCTAGATGTGATTATGGCGGCATGACTGAATGGTTGCAACAAAGGCATGGGCTGGTTTCCGATTTCAAGTCTGTCACTGGTCAAGAAAGTCATTGCTCATAAACCAGCGATCAAATATTTTCAGTCATGTATTCCTACCTCAAAGACCACACAACCCCATGTTGAAAACTCGAACTTTCAGGTCATCAAAGAAAGGCTAACCCGGGATTTCCACCGCATCTGGAACGGCTCCGATCCGGATTTGCTGCGATTTTCGCCGTACGCCAGTTCCGCCAACGGATCTGTTTGTGAGGCAAATTTCGTGGTGGATAACGGACAGAAGGAATTGCAAGAACTTACAAGAACCTGCAGATTCACACGCAATAACAAGTTGTCGTTAGCCACATAGGCTAACCATATAAGCAGTAGATTGTGTCCTTCCAGGGGAGGAAATCTACTTCTAAACTTCTAGAATCAGCATCTCCTCATCCATGGTGTCATCGGGGTGAAATGACGTCTAAAAACCTTTCACTTGTTTGTCCCCGCCTGTTTGCATGGTGTGAAATACGAGTGTTTTATTTTGAAAAGAAGCCGGATGTTTTATTTTGTGTCTGTGCCCGACTTCCTTTCCAGCACGGGTTAATCTGGGCGTCCAGAAAAAATAGAACCCTTGCAATCAGCTGCGAAGTCTGACGATCCGCAGAGGAACGGAAAGAAGTCGGTGAAAATTGACAAATTTATTGAACGGCTACGATCGGAGGATACGACCTTTTCGTAGCCGTTTCGGATGCGGTGTAAATTGGGACTAAGAAAGGATATTGTGAAAGCGAGATAATTTTTTCCTCAGTTGCTTCTAACACAGTTTCTCTCCTTGAAGGACCTTCAAAAGGAAGCTGCTTTGTCAGAAACCAGCACATCTGTCTTCAACCGCTCACATGTCAGCTGGACTGCCATGTCCAATCTGACATCCAATCAGACGCTCTTCACCACAGCTAACACGCCAAACTCTTCATGGACCCTCAACTCTGACGAAACGTCTTTAACATCCGCTTCAACATCAGGAGCAGGATCATCCAGCCAGTCATCAGACAGCAGAAGTTCAGCCAGTCAAGAAGAAGTGACAACAGAATCACCATCCAGCCAATCACCAACAACCACACCATCACCCAGCCAATCAACACAAACTGAAGCATCAAACAGCAAATTACCAGGCAGCACAATACCATCCAGCCACTCATTAACTAGCTCAGAAATATCCAGTCAATCACCTGATGCCACAACATCAACTAGCAAAGTAAAAGATAGCACAAACAACACAACAAGCCAATCTCCACAATCCAGCCAATCACCTCCAACAGTATCACCATCCAACCAATCACCAAGCAGCGTTAAATTAGCCAGCGAATCATCTAGTGGCCCAATATCATCCAGAAAATCAGAAACCAGCACAATAAAACCCAACACATCCCCAGATAGCACTATGACATCCAGCCAATCACCAACCAGAAAAGCACAAACTAGCCAATCACTTGAAAGCACAACACAGTTCAGCCAATCGGGTTCAACAACAGTCCTATCCAGACCATCAAATTCCAGTGAGTCACAATCCAGCGAGACACAAACTAGCCAATCACCAACAACCTTATTATCACCGAGCAGCACAAGCCAGTCATCAAACAGCCAAACAACAACCAGTCAGTCACAAACTAGCATAACAAAAAGCACCAAATCACCAGGCAGCACAGAACCACCAAACAAGTATCTTTCTACCACACCAACAGTCAGCCAGTCCCTGGACAGAACAACATCCCCCGGCCAATCAAGAACAACAACCAACACACCAGCCAGCAAATCACCAGGCAGTGCGAAAGATTTCAGCCAGTCATCATCAACCACAGAGAGAGCCAGTCAGTCACCACACAACACAAAACAGTCTGACAATTCTCTGAACACCAAACAACAAAACAGCCAATCATCAGCAGCCCCAGCAATGATGGGCCGTTTTCCGACGGCCTCAACATCAGCAAGCCAATCAGCAAGCAGCTCTCTTCCCCCCAGCCAATCATCAAAGAGCAAACCACCAGGCAGGACAAAGACTGACAACCAGTTATTGGAAAGTCCAACAACGTCTGTCCAATCAAAAACAGGCAGTTTACCAACCAGCCAATCACCAACAACCAAAACATCTGTCCAATCTAAATCAGGCAATTTACCAACCAGCCAATCACCATCAACCAAAACATCTGTCCAATCTAAATCAGGCACTTCATCAACCAGCCAATCACCATCCACCAAAACATCTGTCCAATCCAAAACAGGCACTTCACCAACCAGCCAATCACCATCAACCAAAACAACACCTGGTCAATCTAAAACAGGCAATTCACCAACCAGCCAATCACCAACAACCATAACATCTGTCCAATCGAAAACAGACAGTTTACCATCCAGTCAATCCCCGTCAACTAAAACAACACCTAGTCAATCTAAAACAGGTTCTTTACCAACCAGCCAATCACCAACAACGAAAACGACAGTCAGCCAATCACCAAATGGTGCATCGCCATCCACCCAATCATTAACAACCAAAACATCAAACAGCCAGTCATCAACTAACCAATCACCAACCCTTATACCAGTGGGCCAATCAACGAGTAGAAAAATAACCCCCAGCAGTTCACCATCCAGCAGACCATCAGACACAGATCCATCAGGCATCAAGACAACAGGCAGCCAAACGTTAACTAGAAGAACCAAAACCAGTGAGACACCGACAAAGATATCAACAGTCAGTCAAATACCAACCAGCACAGTGCCCACTAACTTATCATCCAGCCAATCACAGCTCAACTCAGTGCCAGCAACAGAGTCACCTGACAGCAAAGTGCCAAACAAAACATTATCCGACCGTTCAGCTGACAGTGTTTCAAAATCCAGCCAATCACTGATGAGCCAAACATTTAACCAATCATCATTCACCTCAACGTCGTCTTACCATCCGCCAACTACTTTAGTCCAAACACATCAATCCATCAACAGCTCAAACCCTTCACACCAACCTGATTCAACAGCATCTGACCAATCCCTGACCAGCTCAGTACAGTCAAACCAGTCCACACCAGGATCTGCAGGAAACACACTCAGTGGAGCCGTGTCACCTGAGGAACGTCTAGTTAACATGTCAGTGCTGACCAGGCAGGCGAAGGAAGCCCTCAAGTCGTTCCGCAGGATCCCAGGTACGTTTTTAGCATGAATGTGTGGTGAGGGTATTTGTTTTGGAAATACGACATCTCGAATCAAACGAGGATTAAAACTGAAGGAATAACGGGGAACATTTGAGCAGTCCGTGTCTGGTTTTCAACTCGGCACTGTCAGTATCCACAATTCAGATCAGCAGGAAGGAGGTAAGGCCTGGGTGTCCAGTTTAAAGGGATATTCCGGCGTAAAATGAGTTTAGGGTCAAACACACCATAACACTGAGTTAGACACCCCCTCCAGAGATGAATGTTGTCGACCGCTTGCTTCTCTAGTTATACCAACTTTAGTAACGACCACAGGATAGCCATACACAGCGGTCTGAGGAGCCATAAACAAACCTCAACCAAAACGCCACTCCATAGCCACAAATAATGCTCAGAACAGCACCTAACTTCATCAACAGGACATATAGGGTCACAGACATAGTACTAGACACCGAACATCTTTTTAACTTTGACTCATTTCTTTAGCAAAGAGACTAAACACAACTCACCTACCCTCTTCCAGCAGCCGATTGTTTGTAGTGAGACCTCAGGCCAGTCCATTATGGACTACAGCGGGGTGCCGCAGCTCAAGGAAGAACATTTATGATCATTTCTTTACCATTTCCTTGAAGTAATTATCACCGTATTGATCATTCTTCACTGCAGACGTGGTAGTTCTTCTGCCTTAGCGTCTCGGTCTGATTGTATTTCCATGAAGAAATCGTCATAAATGTTCTTCCTTGACCTGCGTCACCCCGCTGCAGTCCGCAGTTTGAGTCCTGTTGGAAAATAGACATGCCCGAAACTTTGAAAGTGTCCCCAGCATCCACAGATCGTTATGACATTTGACAGATATTCTCATTGGTTTTGCTGTTAAGAGCTGGACAGACTGGTACCAGTTTCAGTTAAAGTCTGAAGACCTGTTTGCTTGATTTAAAGACTGTATCAGGGTAAAAGTCAAATAGTCTATAGACCATAAAACATGCCTCACATTTTAAATTCCTCTTACATTTTGTATGACATTTAACACAAACTAAATAAATGAAATAAAAACAGCCTTTCTAACTGAAACACGCAGCTATATCATTTAATCCTCAACATTAAACGTATTTCCCATAAAATTGAATGTTTCCATGACGACATGGACAAAATCATCAACACTGGGACAAACCAGTGAAACTCAGGAGGTGGTCTGCAGATCAACCTGCAGCTGTGTAATACATAAACATGTTTAATGATTCAGTGTTGACTTTATTTATCTTCAGGAACAAATTAAAAAATTTAGATATTCTGTATTGTCCGGACTGTAAGTCGTACTTTTATCATAGTTTACCTGTGTTTGAGACTTATACTCAGGTGCGACTTATAGTCCGGAAAATACAGTACTTATGAATTTAACATATTTCTATAACAAAGTCTAACCTGCAGCTGTGTAATACATAAACATGTTTCATGGATTTGGTGTCGACTTTATTTATCTTCAGGAACAAATGTAAATGTAGACACATATAGACCGTATACAGAAAACAGGTTTGTTCTGTGTCTCCCGTCCTAAAGATACTGCTCTGTAGAATTATAGGATCGTCTGTGTAACACTGAAGATCTGAGCGGTTTTCTGTCCTGAGAGGCTTTCAGTCATCTCCTACCAGTCTGTGAACACCAGGAGGTCGGTAAATGTGGCTCAACAAAGTAACCCGTATATCTATCTCACCAGCCCCCCTCCCCCACAGAGACCTGAAGGAACACACCTTTTATCTGATCCATCGATCCCACCCCCCCACAAACCCCTGTATGGTACCACGGCTGAGTGGGCAGACAAGCTGTAAGCCCACTGAGCAGATGGTGTTACTGCAGGATGAGAGCCCCGGTTTGGTGGTGCGTTCAGGGACCGGAACATTTGTTAGGGCCCCTCCTCTCCATATGGATCCTGACGAGAGGGGGAGGGAAACTTTCTCTCAAGACTCTGGTCTACAGAAACTCACTTATTTACATAAACTACATACATTTACAATTTACATAAACAACACAAAGTAAAAAACTTCGTTGGCCTCGTTGTCGCGCTGAATTCTCTGGTTTCCAGTCGGACGTGCAGCCCTGTAATTGTTTATTTGTTGTTTCCTTTCAGCCGAGCCTTGTGTGTATCCCTGCCTAAATGGGGGACATTGTGTGCAGTCAGAGTTGTGTGACTGCAGTCTGTATCAGGCCACCGGACACAGATGTCAGACAGGTAAGAAACACACACCTGTAAGTTCACTTCAGTGTGAGCAACAGTCATCATCATTAAAACACAGATCAGCTGTCATCCTGGGAAGTATTTGGACTACAAAAAAACATGGACGCCATCAGATTGGGATCAGCTGTCTGTTTCTGAAAAAGAGTTTTACTCCAAAGATGGCGTCGCGTGACGGAAATGCTGACTCAGCTTTACTTTTGGTCAGCTGAGAAAAAAAGGAGAGAAAGTTCAGATGGACGTTAAACCTCCTGTCAGAAAGCTGCCATTCTTTTAAAAATGTAGATATACTGTATTGTCCGGACTATAAGTCGTACTTTTATCATAGTTTGGGGGGTTTGTGACTTATACTCAGGTGTGACTTACAGTCCGGAAAATACAATACTGATAAATATTCAATATATTTATTACAAAGTCTATTCAAAATACCACACACACCACCTTTAAGTTTATTAACAGATGTTAAATTATATTACTGTATAATTTACTATTAAAAAAACTACTAAACTACTAAAAACTACTAAAACTAAAACTACTATTACTTATATTAATATAATTAAAATTATATTAATAATAATAGTAATTATTATTATTATTATTATTATTATTATTATAAATATTATTATATTCATATGATATGAATATAACTTTTAAAAGAAATTCTTTTTTTTCAGTCATAATGTTAATTTAGAGTTTCTCATGAGACACAGTTTTTCGTCTGTTTAAAAATACGCTCAATTTTACCGAAACTCTTCTTTTAAAGTTTCAGACAAACTCAAACATTCTTCAATACTGTAAAAAAAACACAAAAAAAACCCACGAAATCAGAACAGCTCTATGTCTCTGTTTGCATCAAAGTTCAGAGATTTTTGGACTTTATCAGCTTCAGGTTTTGGTTTTGCAGAACTTTAATTCTTCGGTTTAACTTCTGCTCCTCCGGGAACGTCATCTTCTTTCATGGACCTTCTGTAGTTTCAGAACCGTTTGTTTCTCCTCATCCACCTCCTCAGTTCCAAACACGGGCTTTGAGAGGGAGATGACATGCAGGTCGTGGGGTCAGTACAACTTTGAGACCTTTGACGGGCTTTACTACTACTTCCCCGGTCGGTGCACGTACACGCTGCTGAAGGACTGCGAGGAAACCACCCAGGCCAGCGTTGAGGTCCAGGTGAGCATAAATCCCTCCGACTCTGAGCTGTCCAGAAAGTTTCAGTCCGCCGCCTTCCTCCACTCCACTAAAGTCTGTACATTCTGCTCTCAAACACACACAGTCTCTTTTTTTTTTGTCCGACCTCTGCCAGGTCGAGTCTCTGCCTGAGGAGAAGATTTGCTCTGAAGATTAGTGAAAGCTATCTGGTTATTAGAGTCAATTACCATTAAATACTGCAATTACCCAGAATGCCTTGAAAGCATCCGCAACAGACCGAGACTTTGTTCCCCTGAAAAGGCAGCAGATGGATACAGTATCTGTGTATGGGAAAAGAAAGAGAGCGCACATTAAAAGAGACTGTAGCTGATGATCGGGAGTGAATGACCTGGAAGAGAAGAGACACAAACGCAGAACTCAGAACCAGAACCAGAACCAGAATCAGAACCAGAACACTGAACCGTCAGCAGAGACACCAAAAAGGCTTTAAATGTCTCGACTCAGGATTCTGGGTTAAAACGAGCCGTAAAGGCAGAGCTGGAGATAAAACTGTCGGCTCTTTTCTGATCAGCTGGTGAAGGTTGTTTCTGTGAGTCACGATAAAAACACAAAAGAAAACAAAACTTTATTCTTAATGTCTTTTTCTTTGATGATAAATTAATCAGACGAGTTTGGAAAAGATAACAAAAAGATAACGGGGAAAAGTTTGAGCTTCGATTTTGAGCTTTACGCAGAAAAAGGAATAAAAGAAACAAAGAAAACCCAAATCTACCCAAACCCAACCCCTTATTCCCACCCCAGGATCTAAACGCAACAGAAACAGAATTAAAATACATGAACTTAAAAAGGGCTTTAATGTGCGCACTGAGGAAACGTCATTTTAAAACTCAAGGTAAACACTGGAGGTTAAAATCTTAAAATAAAGAAACAGAATGAAATTTAGGAAATAATAAATAAAATGAAATAAAAACAGTAAAACACACTAAAATAAGAGCATCAAAACAGCTCAATAAAAGACGATCCTGTCGTTAAAACTAGAAAGAGATAAATATTAAAACACTTAAAGTTAATGATATAAAATTAAGTTAAAAGTAAAACTAAAAGGGTTTGTTTTCAGTTTGGTTTTAAGTTGTTAAGATGAAGTCCTCAGGTCTTCAGGTCAGCTGTTCCACAGACGAGGCCGTAGAAGTAAAAAGATGTTTTACCGTACGTCATGGTTTTAACTTTAATAATGTTAACAGAGAAATTCCTGAAGACCTGAGGACTCGACCTGACTCATGAAAAGGGCTAAAGCCATGAAGAGCTTTAAAAACCAATAAAACAACCTTAAAATCGATTCTAAAAGAGACGGGGAGCCAATGCAGAGACCTTAAAATCGGTGTCATGTGATCTCTCTGTCTGGTCCTGAAAGGTTCGTGGTTGTGAATGAAGACACTAAAAAGCTGTTATCTTCAGTGTTTTAGATTAAAAAGGAGGATTAGGTTCATTTACTGAACAATCAGAAAGCTTTAACTTTTCTACTTGGTCCGTTAAACCCCCAGACGGCCATCAGGGGGCGCTGTTTCAGTTTAGGCGTCACTTGGACGGTTGTTGTTCGTGGTTTCCTGCGGTCTGTCGTTTATTCTCCTCTCTATCGCAGGTCCACAACGACCCGGGCTGCCTCTCTGAACCTTACACCTGCCAACGATCCGTCAGCCTCTTCCTGCCCTGGGAGGGGGAGGTTCGGCTGCACGCCACCAATGTCACATTCAAAGGTCAAAGGTCAGTTGCATTAGAACAAACAGACAGACTTTCATATTTCTAAACACTGGAAGTCCGTCAGAGTAACGGTGCGTTCACTGTCTCCGTCTTCAGTCTGCAGCTGCCCTCTCACATCCACGACCTGCAGCTGGAGCAGATCTCGCAGTACGTCCTGGTGACGCAGCAGCACGGCTTCACGCTGGCCTGGGAGGGACGCAGCGGCTCCGTCTACATCAAACTCAGCCCGGAGTTCGTGGGCAGAACCTGCGGTCTGTGTGGAAACTTCAACGCCGACGTCCAGGACGACCTGAAGACCAGTTATGGTGAGACTGATGGATCCTGCTCCTTTCTCGGTGGAGAAGGAGTCAGATGATGAGCGCCCCCTGTCAGCAGACTGATCAGAGCGCTCTCTCCGTCTCAGGTGTGCTGACTCATCAGATCGAGATGTTTGGGAACAGCTGGGTGGAGACTGAGCCGCACCAGACCAGGTGTCCCATGGTGCCTTTGGGCTTCCCTGCTCCTTGTGCAGCTGTTGATGATCACGTCCTGCTGGTGAGGAGTTCCATCAGAGAGGATTCCCATTTTATATAAATATACGTATAAATGATAAATGAGGAGTTCAAATGTGTGTGTGTGTGCTGTTTGGACTGCTGCAGAAGGTGGAGGAGGTGTGTGCCAGGCTGCTGGATCCGCCTTTTCAGAGCTGCCATGACTTCGTCAGCCCGCTGTCCTACATGGCGAGCTGCTCCAACGACCTGTGCAGGTAAGACCGCCGGACTCGCCGACATCCTGCAACGCCACTTCATGAAACTTCACATGTGTGTACATGCTTTATGTAACCCTCTGTAGTCGGTTCCCCAGCTGAACCGCTCCAGTCCAAAAGTCTGGCTCCGCCCCCTTCTGCCCTTCCTGACCTCAGGTTTTGGTATCAGAGATCATTTCACTCTCAGCTGGACGAAGGTTACTCCGACTCCAGGCTGGGATCCAACTGTTTATACTGGGAACTGAGTCCAGTTCAGGTTTTGGATCTGGGTTTGGAGTCTTCAGTTTAACACTTAGAACTCTGCTGGATCTCCGTCGACCCCACGTGACGTCATTAATATAGTTCACAGTTTCTCAGGAACTATACCGTGTATCTCTATAAGATTAAAAGTGTTGAAAAATTACCCTTTTGGCGATCTATCGAGGGTTTCCAGACATTTCTACACCTGCCACAAGGTTTACAATCCAGCCTCAAAAACAGGAGTTTGATCAGAGACGATTGATGGTTAATGAGCAGTGATATACGGTGAAAACAGGATTATTGATCAGATTGTTGTGATAAAAAAAGATCATTTAATTCTGCTAATGTCTTCCAGGTTTGACGGTAGTGTCCAATAAGAGACAAGAAAGTTCCCTGCTTGTCTGTAAAATCAGAAATAATGTTCCTCAATGTTTGGAAACAAGTAAAGAAGAGACTCTGAGCAGTCTGATGTGGTCCTCTGTCTCATCCCAGGAGTGGCAGAAACAACTGTAAATAGTAAAAAACGCCTGAAGAATGAGTGTAAATATGTCGATAGTTTCTGTTGTGTGTTTGTTCCAATCCCAATATTTCTGCTCCTGATAGACGAGACTTTAGAGAATGATGTTCAGGTGAGGAAAGACTTGGTCACTGTAGATTTATGTGTTTTTTAACGAAGTTCTGTTGGGGTCAGTTTCTGTTTTAGTTTCTTGGTTGACTTCGATGGTTCTGAATCTCCTGTCTCATTTATTTTTCATCATTTTTGCTCCAGAAACTGAATCTGAGGTCGTCCTGAGAAACTCCAAACTCCCAGCCCGTTTTCCCCTCCGCTCCTCCTCTCCCCAAAGTTCAGCTGAGGTGTATTTTAGGTTTTTTTTTCAGTCCACGTTCACAAAGAAGCGCTTCTTTAACGTTCTCACTCGTGTCCTCTAGTGGCTCGGGTCCATGACCCTGACTGTGACCTCTTCCTGGGGTAACGTTAGTCCAGATCATCCGTATCTGTCTGGACCAACATACCGTGTCTGTTATCAAACCGCCCCCCCGGCTGTCCTCCATGTTTCAGGTCCACCTCTGGACCCGTCTGTGTTCTCTGTTCTATACTGAGACCAGAACCCGGTCTTGAGGCCCCTCCCCTCCTGGCTCCGCTCATAGACTCCTTCTCTGTTTGTTTCTCTGGTGAAGGTCGGGTCCCAACGGTGAAGTGGTATGCCAGGTGTTCAGCGAGTACGCCCGGGCCTGCGCCCACGCTGACCACCCACTGCACGACTGGAGGCGGCACATTCCTCAGTGTGGTACGTTTCTCCAGGTGTTCCAAACAGCGGGCGGCGAGCGGAGACGAGGAGGAGTCTGGACGCTGGAGCTCAAACCAAACGGCTGAATTTGATACGAAAGAACGAGAAACTCAGTCGATACTGCAGAACCACGCTGAAGATTTCTGAGTCTCTCCTGAAATACCAAGAAACTTATTAACATCACATTTTTACGTTGAGCTCCAGTTTACAGTTTTCTGTTTAAACTTTCAGGTCAACAGATAAACTCAGAAGTTATCTGCTTTATGACCTGGATTTGTACAAACAGTGATGTGAATTTCAATATTATTTTTTTTACTAACTAAAATCAAAACACTTCAATATACAACAAACACATAAATAATCCCAAATCTGAATGAAAGAAGAATCATCTGTGATAATCTGTTTACAAAGACCTGAGATGATTG